ATTTTAGGGTCTTTATTTATCAGATTGTGAATGAAAGAATATATGATAGTTGTTTGATATATCGGCATATCTATATATTTAGAAAAGTAATTTTACTTTTAAAAACAATTGGCTCGTAATTATCCCAACATAAATTTACCATTAATATATCAAAAATATAATTAAACGATTAATTATGAGACACATCTTTTGTTAAAAAAAAAGAACCAAAAAGGAAAAAAAAAACACGGAAAAGGAAGAGAAAATAAGAAGACACGACCAATCCTTTCTCCGACGTAATTGTATGTGACTCACGACCATGATTAGATTGGTGGAGATTAATCATTGGATGTTCTTGGTCGAACGATAAACCGTCATAAAAAAGGTATGTAAACTACATTTGATCCAAATTTATTTATTTTTTTCATTTTTTCGTGTTTAAGAATATTACTATTTTGTTAAATGTAAAATATATCGAATTTTTATATTTTAGGGTCAGTTAATTTTTTAATTTTAATTAATATTCGAATTAATTTAATAGAAGGTATTTAAGTAATTACGCAAAATCAAGGGTTCAACAAGAGCCGAGAGTCTGACACGTCAGCAAAAACACTTCTTAAATATTGTTATTATAGATAGATGGGATTACATAGTACAGATATTATTAATTTATAGAAGTTTTAATGTATATATGAATTGTATAAAATAATGATAAGCCTTATTCAGCCCAAAAAAAAAAAAAATAATAATAATGATGATGAGCCCTTGGTCCATGTAATATCATCATGACACAATCATATAGTAAGTTTTTCTAATAGCGGTAAATTCGCATAATGGTTATTACGTATACTTTCACATAATTAAGAAACACGTTATTAAGAGATGTAGCTAAGTTTGATTAATTTGAAGTTTTGAACATAGAAAATAAGTGACCGTACGGATAAATGTGGAAGAAAATAAGGACAATAGTTGGACGTTAGCTAGTAGAAGTGGGCCGCTCGCACCGTTAGTCCCGCAAACGGCGCCGTTCTCTCGTTTCGAGCCATCATCCCACTTGTTTGTTGTTTCATGTGACTTCTTCGTCTCGAGGCAAACTCTTGACTCTTCGTCACTTTCGCTTATTACCCATTTGTCTGCCAACATTTCTTTTGGCAATATACTCATGTAACTCCAAATAAATCTTCTTATTTGTAAGTTTGTATTTATATTTGTAAGGTTAATTTGGGATTTACATTTCTGATTTCTCTAAAAAAATTTTCTCTATATTTTTATTCTTTTGCTATATCAGAATATATATATATATATATATATATATATATATGAAAAAATATAATACCTTCTATACAACATTATTACAATCTATAGATGTAAATAGATTATATGTCATTTGCGTTTTTGTTTGTTTGTTATTATATATTTTTTAATAGAGTGAATATCATGGGTAATATTAGCAAATAGCCTTTAACTAGAAAAGTATTAAGTAAATAACCTTTGACTATTTTTTTTGTTAGAATGGAGTATATACTATAATATCCCTCTTATTTAGAGGTATTTACAAGATGAAATATATGCTGGGAAAAGGTGAGATTTACGTCAATATCATCGGTGAGATTCAGATTATAATTCCGGTGTCTTCGTAAGAGAGAGAAAAATATATGTTGAGACATCTTACCGACGATAGTGAGAGAGAGATTTGGAGTCGATTGTGACGAATCTTTCGCGGGAGGGGGCTTTAGTGTTCCGTCGCGAAAGGTGATGGTAGTTTTATCTATGAGAGTGAAATCCAGTGATGGAAGTGATTGTGGCTACAAAAACAAGGATGATGGAGATATCGATGGTAGATACGTACAGAGGAGGTGGTGATGAATATAGAGGATGGTGGCTACAAAGGTGACGATGGTGGATACAAAGAAGGTAATAGTGGGTACGAAGTTAGTGGTAAAGGATACAGAAATTAAAGCGGGATTACAGATCTGGTATAGATGGTGGTGGTGATTGTTATGGAGGTAATGATGGTGGTTGATGGTTACATAGATGATGATAAGGTTATTTTAAAAATTAACACGAATTATGTAAAAATAACATGTATTTATCATGTAAATAACATGTGATATTAAGAAAATAGCATAACGGGTTGGAGTAAATAGAAATAACATGTAATATTATTATTTGTTGGAAATATATCATGTTATTTATGAAAGAAAACACTTTGAATCACATTGGTTTTCTAAACATAGCATGATACCTAAGCACATATACATGAAATACTGATAAATATGTAGAATTGTTTCAAGAATTCATGCGGTTCTATTGAATAACATGGTATATTACTAAATATATGTAATATGTAGATCTATTAGTTTTCATAGCATGTTTTATTTTTAAAATACATGTGATTCGTAGTTTAGATCTACTTTCTTCAAATTAAATATCGGTGGGAGAGATACAGCCTGAGATCCGGCAAGCACATAACGACAAGAGGTGAGAGAGTTCAATGAAAAGAAGAGATTTGTGATGTCTGAGAAGGAGGAATAGAAAGTACGGCGAAAGAGGGTAAGAGAAAGAACAACAATGGGAGAGAATCAGATCCGTCGATTGGAATTGAGAGAGAAAAATTCGTAATAAGAGAGAGAAGAAGATATAAGAATAAGAGATGCTATGAAAACTGATAACGATGTGGGAGAAGAAGAAGAAGAAGATACAGATTTTGTATGAGAGAATGAGAGAAAGAGGGTGAAAGTGTCATAAATTGTGTGTAAAAATCTTTTTCTCTCTCATACTTTCCATACATGGCTATTTTCTCAATTCTTTTGTGGTCAAAGGTTAGTTAGTATATATTCCCGAATATCATTTGCGTGTTTTTTTGTATAATGTTATTGTAGCTTCCTTTTTTTTTTTTTGGTCTAGTGTTTGTTTATATAGTTTATGAATGATGTTTGGTAAAACTAAACTGACAAAAATTTTGTTTTCTAATTTAGTTTTTTGATTAACAATAGTAACATTTATACATTATGTAAAACGCTATTTAAACCCTAATTTATTTAGCTAGTGATCCTAGATTGTATTATGAATAATTGCTAAAAGTGTAGCTCATTTTTCTTAAATATCTTAATTAATAATTTTAAAATGTAAATGTTAAGAGTTACGTAATAATTTTAAAATGTAAACGTTAAGAGCGAAAGAAAAAAAAAATGTTTCGTTTTTAAAGCCAATTTACAAAACTAATTAGTAAGAAATATATATATATATATATATATATATATATATATATATATATATATATATATAATACAATATGAACACATAAATTATGCTCGAAACTCCCTGAAAGTTTCAATCTTCTTATCTACGACAAGAATCGCGAGAGACTATGCAATGAACCTAATCAAACAACTCTTTTCAAGAATTGATATAAAAAATAAAAAATCAGAGATATCAATAAGAGTTGGTCCTTGGAAAGCGAATATATATATATATATATATATATATATATATATATAATACAATATGAACACATAAATTATGCTCGAAACTCCCTGAAAGTTTCAATCTTCTTACCTACGACAAGAATCGCGAGAGACTATGCAATGAACCTAATCAAACTTAACTCTTTTCAAGAATTGATATGAAAAATAAAAAATCAGAGATATCAATAAGAGTTGGTCCTTGGAAAGCGAACTCTTCATTAACTATTAGACATTGATTCAGGTGCTTAGGAAAATGTAAATTAATAAACAAAGGTGCCGGTCGATGACGTTGTAGAAAGTCTATTTTCGTATAACCCGATTATACATATGTGTGTTTTTTTCTTTTGCATTTATTTATCGCAAAGAAAAACCCACACTCTTGGATGCATAAGGAAAATTGAATCTCTCTGTTCCACGTTTTTATGGTCTGGCAGTATTGACTCACATGGTATGACAAAAGTTTTTTTGGGCTCAAGCACTAGCGGATCTAGAAATTTATGTTATAGGGGTCAAATTTTTTTTTTAAATACTCTCTCTGTCCCAATTTATAAGATGTTTGGACTAAAAACACAGAGATTAAGAAATAATAAATGTTTTTTCATTTATGAAAATTCAACTAATAGAAGAAGATACTGCATACTTAAAATAATTAAAAATTATTAAACTAATATAAATCATGCATTGAAAGTTGAGAAAATCTTATATAATAGAACAAATAAAAAGGTCTAAAACATCTTATATATTGGGACAGAGAGAGTATAAGATAGTATACTAAAAAATTTGATATTTTTTATCTGCTGTTTCGTAAAAACTAAAATAAATTAGGTGAGTATTTCTTTTATTTAAAGTAAATTATGGGTCTAAAATTTTAGTGAGAATCCAACTTTCAAATATTTAGACTATTTTTTCTTTCAAGTTGCAACATTAATTTTGTATTGGGGTCAAAATTTATTATAAGTTGGGATCATTAGAATTATTGCTAATGACATATAATGGATTTTTGAAAATTCATGGGGGTCAACTGACCCCCCTATCAAACCCCTGCCTCCGCCACTAGGCTCAAGTCTGTTTACCAAAAGAAGAAGGAGGGGTGGGTTTGAGGAGATTTGCTCCTTGGAATAGAACGTTCTGCTTGAGGATGATTTGGCTCCGGTTCTCTGCAAGTGGGTCGCTTGGCATAGATTTTACAACTGCAGCTCTGCTACTAGTTTCTGGAACCAGCCTGAAAAGGCCAATGACTCTTAGAACTGGAAATGCATTTTAAAGCTGAGAACTTTAGCGGAAAATTTTATCAGGTGCAAGGTTGGTAATGGAAGAAGGGAAAGCTTCTGGTTTGATTCTTGGACTAATCTTGGACCACTTATAAAGTTTATTGGAACAAATGGACCTAGGAGCTTAAGGGTTGCGCTTAATGCTACTGTTTCTGAAGCATGTGATTATAATGGATGGATATTGGCAGCTCCTAGATCTGATAATGCTTTGACTCTTCATGTTTATCTTACAACCATCAGTCTCCCTACTGCTTCGTTGGATGATGACACCTTTGATTGGGTGGTTGAGGATAAAATCTGCAATGGGTTTTCCTCTTCCAAAACTTGGGATGTGTTGAGACCAAGAGCTGATGCGGTTAACTGGTTTAATTCTGTTTGGTTCAAGGGAGCCACTCCAAGACATTCCTTCAATATGTGGGTTGCTAACCTAGATCGCCTTCCCAAAAAAGCTAGACTGGCCCGATGGGGGTTGAACATTGACACTATATGCGGTTTATGCACTAATCATCACGAAGACAGAGATCATTTGTTCCTTACATGTGACTTTGCTCTTTTCTTATGGAATGCGGTTAGCACCAGACTTCACCTGCCTCAGATTGATTTTACCACATGGTCGGAGTTAATGGCCTGGACTAGTATCAAGAATCGCATGTCCCCACCAACTCTCCGGAAGTTAGTAGCTCAATCGATTGTCTATAACATTTGGAAGCAGAGAAATAATCACCTTCACAATCAGATCTACATCTTGCCTTCTATGATCTTCAGGGACATTGACAGGGAGATAAAGAATTCCATCACAGCAAGAAGACATAAGAAGAGGTTCAAAAATCTTATGACTCGCTGGCTGCATTGAGACTTCCTCTTTGTAACTCTAAATCTATTGTTTTCTTGTTTATTTTATGCTAAGAAACCAATGTATAGGTTGTAAAACCAACTCTTCATCTATATAATATTTGCACTTTAGCAAAAAAAAAAAAAAAAAAAAAAAAAAAAAAAAAAAAAACCCACACTAATCAACCATTTACATATTCAATCTTACCCTACCAAAAATATTACATTATTTAGCTGATATAATTATATAATTTAATAAATGATTTTTTCATGCATGTCATGATTCAATCGTTCCATTATGCTATCAAACAAAGTCTAAATTTATATACATGTAAAAATCCTCTATCAAATGAGTCTACAAAACTCATAAACTCACAAATAAAACTAAAATGTAATGGCGTGATTTAACATGTACTTTCTACCGGGGGAATTATTTAATTTTTTATTACAAAACAATAACGCGGGAAAAGGGGATTTTCATACCCGTACTATCTGCACCGTGGATTTTCATACCTGAACAATTTCGTAGGGTATTTTACAACCTAAACTTCAATAAAATTTGAATCTCATACCTATACTTGATACAACGTGCAAAAATCAGAGTCAATTTAATGGGTGTTAGTCAACTCCGTTACGGTGCTGAGTCATCGTACACGTGTACGCTGACGTGTATCAAAACGACGTCGTTTTAATACCCGTACTATCTGCGCCGTGGATTTTCATACCTGAACAATTTTGTAGGGTATTTTACAACCTAAACTTCAATAAAATCTGAATCTCATACCCTATACTTGATACAACGTGCAAAAATCGGAGTCAATCTAACGGCTGTTAGTCAACTCCGTTACGGTGCATATCGAAACGACGTCATTTTGATATGTGTTCTCAAAGTTTTAAATTTTTTTGCAAAACTAGGGACGAAAGTATACTAAAAAATATTGGTATAGAAAAAACCGAACCAGTAAAATGTTGGTTTAAGCTTGAAAGAAGCTTAACCGGAAGATTACTTAAACCGCAAGTCATTGGTTTGTTTGAAGAGATAAATGTTAAATCCTCTAGGAGTTATCTAGAAGGATCTTTGTATTTTCTATTCGAGTTATGATTAGGTCAAAGTGTTTGTTATATAAGGACATATCGAGTTTGTGATATGACTTATGCGGTTTTAGAGTTTGAGAAGTAATTGAGAGAGAGGCTTAGGTTTTGAGAGATTTTCCTAAGTAATAAAAGAGAGTTATTCTTTTGCTGTGTTCTTGATTACTTTTACAAACTAGATTTGGTATCAGAGCTTTGTGAGATCGAGAAGAAGCTATGGGGGATATCGTTCCCGCGACGGGAAAAGGTAAAGAAGGAGGAGGATCTTCCTCAATTCATTGTCCGATGCTAAACGCAACTAACTACACGGTATGGGCCATAAGAATGAAGTCAGCACTGAAAGTTCATAAAGCTTGGGAGGTTATAGAAGCAACAATAACCTCGATTGATGTGGAGAAGAATGATGTAGCCACTGCTTTGCTTTTCCAATCGATTCCTAAAGCCTTAGTACTACAAATAGGAGAACTTAACACAGCTAAGAAGGTATGGGATTCGATTAAAGCAAGACATGTGGGAGCAGACAGGGTCAAGGATGCTAGGTTACAAACTCTTATGGCTGAATTCGACCGCCTCAAGATGAAAGACTCTGAAAAGATTGGCGATTTTGCGGGAAAGGTTTCTGAGATATCTTCAAAATCATCTGCTCTAGGTGTAAACATTGAAGAATCAAGACTAGTTAAGAAGTTTTTGAAAAGTATTCCTTGGAAACGATATATTCATATTGTAGCACTACAAGAAATGTTGACATCATTAGCGCGGAATATCTCCTATCATACATATAACATAGCGAATTCACAAATGCTATGACATCGGCAGCCATCGTAGGGGTAACCCATACGATAGCATTGTTTTAACTGCTACAAAATTGACAAATACTATAGCGCATTTGACACGCTATTACGTATTCTCATATAGCATCTGTTTTTTTGTTATCGTATGTCATTGTACAATAGCTACTGTATATTGCGGTAATATATATTTGTGTAGCATCATATTTTGTGCTATAATATATGCTTTTACTATAGCTCTTGTCCACTGCTATATATTATTTAATTCTGACATTTATATGTGCTATAATACAATATTGAAAACAAATATTTAGTGCTATGATAGAAGTATAGATCAGTTTTTTTTTATTTGCTATTGTATATGTTTTCATATTGCTATTATATGGGTTTCCTGAGAATAATTATAAATTTTTCATATAGCTCTAAACATGAACACATAGAAATAAAAATCATTTCACATAAAGTCTGATTCCATATCCTTAAGAGTAAAAGTTCACATAATCATTCATCATACATAACAGAAGTTCTAATCCAAAATAAAATACATAACACAAGTCATAAGTTGATGATTAGCTCTGTCTTAAACTTAATTAAAACTAGCTAACATGGACCAAAGTTACTTCATTCCCCTGCAAGAAGCAGTCTTATATCAGATTTGTGATATCATCAACAGATCAAGTTAAAGCACAAGCAAGACAGTATACATACCTCAGTTTCTTAAACTGATCAAAAGATGACCAACTTATCCATTGGCCATGCAATAGCTGAACCAAGTGCATCTCTCATGTACTCGATTTCAGCTGATGGCCTCCAAACAGTGCATCATCTATCTTCACTATATCAACCCATACTCTAGCTGCATCTGAAAAGTGAAAAACAAGAGAAAAATAGATGAATTCTTCCCTCTAAGTAATTGAAGTAGAAATATTTATCTTCTAACAGTAATTTTTCCTCTCTCCTCTTAATTCTACCTTTTTCATCTCAATTCTAATTTTAGTTTTATTCCACTGTATGTATGTTACATTTGGTTTATAATTATTGAAGTAGGGTGGACGTGTGAGATGGTGAGCCAGCAAGTGATTGTCAGTTTGTCACTCGTTGTCTTGTAGTGAGACAAACCTCATGAACTACCCACTTTTTAGATAATAATTAAAATACAATTAGGAGATGCTTAATTATAGGGTCCTTTCCAACACTTTCTCACGACCTTAGCTGGTAGTTTTTTCTTTTTTATTGATTAATACATACCACTCTTGGTTTACTCGTGCATTATACTGTACAAAGTTGCAGTTAAGTTACTAATTTAAATTTTATTTTATTTAAACAATGTTTGAAAAATGTACTTGCGGCACTAGTTTATTTTAAAACTGAGATATGTCTTCTTTTAATATGGTTTTATTAAAGGTTAATGTTAGTACTAAAAAAACTGATGGAGATATGGGTCGTAATGGCTTGTATTAACATATTTCTTTCTTACATCTAAAATTCTTTACACTTTTATAATTGACACTTTAAATGTTGATGATGATTTTCTTTCTCGGCAAATTTTGATTATGGTAATTAATACGATTATACAAGACTAAAATTGCACTGATTATTTACTTCAAAAATACAATTTGTAGAAAAAAGTATGTAACTATTTCATTTTTTCTCACTTATATGTTTTCCTACTAATATTTTAGATGCACTTGTATATAAGCAGAGATCAATAAGCATATCCAACCTACTATTATAAGTTTTTAACGTGGAAAAACTTTTTTTAAATAAATAGATATTACTAGTTATGTGACTTCTTTATTCAGATTCACGTCCACGCGATATGAAGTCATTTGCTTGGTGTTTTGGCAAACAAAACCAGAAAATATTGGAACGTTAGGCGACTCCCGACCAAATTTCAAATCATCCCAATCTTTTATGGATTCTATCCCCTTTTAAATTAAATCTTCTGATGTGGATCTACCACTTTCGTACTAGAAATGGATACTTTTTAGTACTTGTTCATTTAAACTTGTCTCTAATATTCATCTAAATTCGACTATCACAAGCTCACAACTTCTGTCAAAACATTATCCTCCTCTTATCTTCTTATCCTTGTAAGTTTGACTATATGTATGTGGAAAAACAGATCATTGGTCATGTAGATAACTTAGCTAAACGTTGACCCAAAAGAAAAAAAAAATAACTTCACTAAACTAGCTAACATAACAACACTCTACAAGTTATTTTGTATCTTGGAACACTTTGTAACTTGTCTTTTACGTTTATAGATGGTTTTGAGACAAAAAAAAATAAGGTCTTAGTGTGGAATTGCCTTCTCTTGGTTGGCGTAATACTGTAAAGATAAGTTAACAAGATCTCTATCCCAATATATCAAATACGCACATTAGCGATTTTTATTCCAATTTCCACTAATCCCTTATGTACATACAATTATCCTGACAAGATTTCTCAGAATCAATTGTTGTAAAAAAAAAAAAAAAATACACTAGATAAGTTACCTTTTCAAAGTGAAATATTTATTAAACTGAATCCATAGGGATTAATATGAAATAAATACAGTACAATAATTAAAAAAATAAACCCCTAACTACATTGCAGTGAATTCATCAAAATCCATTAAAACTCTTCCAAAACTCAAATTCAAACAATGAAACAACTTCAAAACCTTAACCCAATAACATTACTCGTTCTTATTGTTTCAAAATGTTGGTGATATGTAATGGGTCTTAAGGCCCATAAAGTGGCCCAGAAACAAACCCGTTCTTGTTAACACGCCTTGTCGTTTCACTTACTCTCTAGAAAACTGTATCCCGTTTTGTTTTTCTTGTACTCTACAAACAAGACAACTTCAAATTAGTCATCACCACGTCGCGAAAATCCGATCTACGTCTCTCTCTCTCTCTTCTCCAATCTCTCTGCGCCACAGAATTACGAAAACCTCCGATCGTTAACGGCGACCGGTAAAAATGAACGACGGAGATGTATCGAGGCAGATCCAGCAGATGGTGAGATTTATCCGCCAAGAAGCGGAAGAGAAAGCAAACGAGATCTCGGTTTCCGCTGAAGAAGTATGATCTTTAGTGTCTCTGTTTCCATTTCTCAGATCTTCTGATTTTTTTCTCTCTAATTCGTTTGTGTTTCTGGATTCGATCGTTAGCGGTTGTTCTGATTGTATTCGATTTGTAGGAATTCAACATTGAGAAACTCCAGCTTGTTGAGGCGGAGAAGAAGAAGATCAGGCAAGATTATGAGAAGAAGGAGAAGCAAGCTGATGTTCGCAAGAAGATGTGAGTTCAATTTGATTATTATTAACCCGATCGCTTAGTTTTTGATCTTGATTTAGATTCATAGATTTGAATTCATAGATTCATAGTCTGGTACTCTGGTTTAGTCTAATAGACCAAAATTGAAGATAGTTAACTTCACATTTCAATCTTATTACTTCAGAAATTAGTCTATCTTAAGATTATGGTTTAAGATACATGTTTTTTTCAGTGATTACTCTATGCAGCTAAATGCTTCAAGGATCAAAGTTCTTCAAGCGCAGGACGATATTGTCAATGCCATGAAAGACCAAGCTGCTAAGGATCTTCTGAATGTGAGTCGCGATGAGTATGCCTACAAACAGCTTCTCAAGGATTTGATTGTTCAGGTTGGTACTTTCATACAAAACAGAGACTACCTCAGACTTGATCCATTCAAATATTGGAACGTAGTTTTTGTATATCCTACTGGAGATTATGTAACCCCTTTCTTGTGTCCGATGGCAATCTCATTCTTATGGTCTGTTAAAGATTCTCTCTTGTATTGTTGCAGTGTTTACTTCGGTTGAAAGAACCTTCTGTGTTGTTGCGTTGTCGTGAAGAGGACTTGGGTTTAATTGAAGCTGTGCTTGATGATGCAAAGGAGGAATATGCTGGTAAAGCAAAGGTTCATGCCCCAGAGGTTGCTGTTGACACAAAAATATTCCTTCCTCCTCCTCCTAAATCTAATGATCCTCATGGTCTCCACTGGTAAAAATTCATGTTTCTCATCATTACTTTAGACTAAACAGATAGTAACTTTAGCCCGTAGTAATTATTTTTAAATTTGTAGAAAGAAACATTATCGGTGTTTAGATCCGGCTTTGATATTATATGTATTTTTGGAACTTGTAATAGCTCTGGAGGTGTTGTGTTAGCTTCTCGTGATGGGAAAATCGTGTGCGAGAACACACTTGATGCGCGTCTTGATGTGGCATTCCGTATGAAACTCCCAGTGGTATGGAAAAACAAAATTCTCTACTGCATAGATTGCTTCTTGTGATCCACACTCACTGTCTAGGTTTAGTTTTTTATATACTTCGGTTCTCTGATTCATTCATTTTTTTTAACAGATCCGTAAGTCGTTGTTCGGCCAAGTTACTGCCTGATGAAAGAAAGGGAAAGAGAGAGATGATTCAAACCGGTTTGTGTTTGGTTATTTACCTATTTTGGGAGAGATTTCTCTTTTGTTGTGATTCTTTGTATTTTGCAAAATCTTACTTTGGTGCCAAACCCATCGAACGCTTCTTTTTCGCATTTCTTTTTTACCTCCTCGAGTGTGTTATCATGGCTATACAAATAAATAAAATGAAAGACTTCTTTCTTTTTTTAGTCTCACTTTAAACGTCTATGCTTTTTTTTTTTTTTTTTTTCGTCTGAATGATTCATATATAAATCACAAAGAGTTTGTCACAAAACACAAGCCAAAAAGCACAAAAGGAACAAAAACAATCATGAAACAGAGAACACCATTACAACAAAGCAATGCATTTTTCAGATTCAAAGACACTGTAAAACCAAAAAGGGTAGCCTAGCGCTACATATGATTGAGATTGTTCTTCCGTTGTGACACTTTTTGCAATCAAATGGGCACCACAATTAGCCTTCCTATCTTCAAGCACAACCCTCCATGCCGGAATAAGAGTTAAGGCAGAAAGAAGCCTTACCGACTGATATATGAAACTAGGCCAAGCCGCTGGTCGATTAATAGCACCAACAAGATCCTTTGGCTCCAGCGCAAAAATAACATTAGGCACATGAAGACTATGCAAACTTTCCATTGCCCATAAAACACTAGTGAGCTCAGCCTCATTCTTTGAAGAGATAAACCTAAAGGATCTTCTACTATGGAGAAGAACATTACCTTCTGAGTTTCTCAAAACCCAAGCCGCACCACTAGTAGATTTCTCACGATCCCAAGCAGAAGCCACATTACATTTGAGCCACAGTTTTGCTGGGGGTCGCCAACTCTTGGTCTGAGCGGATACAACCTTTTGAATACTTTCTTCCTCCACATCATCCACCACCTGAGCCTGGAACCATTCAGCCGCAGCCTCACTAATCTTGACCATCAAATCAGAGATTCTAAAAGCAAGACCTTCAAAAACAAGATTGTTGCGATTCTTCCAAAGATACCACAAAATCCAAGGCATTGACCTTCGAGAATGTAGAGGCAGCCTTACATTTTTACACATAGTCAGAACAAGATGAAAGTTCTGATAAATAGATCTTTGGTCGAAACCGTCTTCTGGAAGGGGAAGACCAGATAATGCCCACACCTGCCTGGCAATAGGACACACAAAAAGCAGATGGTTTATAGATTCCCCTTCAAAAGCACAAAACTGACATCTTGCATCCACTTTCATCCCTCTAGAATTCAGCCTCTCCACAACTGGAATAGCCCCATTTACTAACTTCCACAAGAACACTTTAATCTTAGAAGGAGCCAGAATCTTCCAAACCTCTCCTTTAAGCCCATTAAGAGATGGGAGAAGATTAGCATAACTAACCTTTTCATTGTTG